AATTACAGCACACAGAAGGCAGAAGCAGGCAGATCTGTGAATTCCAGGTCACTTTGGTCTACAAATCGAGTTCCAGGCCAGCCAGGGATACACAGAAAGACCCTGCCTAGAAAAACAACAACAACAAACAAACAAACAAAACAAAAACACCTGGGGCTGGGGATGTAGCCACTTGGTAAGTATTTGTCCACCATGCATAAAGTCCTGGGTTCAAACTTCAGCACTGCATGAAACCAGACATGGTAGCCCAAGACTATCATACAACACCTGGGGGGAAAGGGCAAAAGGAAAAAAAAAAAAAGGATCACCATTAGCTACCTGGGGCCTCGCTGACAACACCAGCTGACCTAGAACTCACTCTGTAGACCAAGCTGGCCTCAATCTCACAGAGATACATCTGCCTCTCCTGTAGGGAGTGCTTGAATTGCAGGCATACACTACCACAAGGGCACTTAATGTGCTTCTTCTTCCCTCATTAATCAGGGAAGCATACACAGTGTTTGCTGCCAATCCAGATGAAGGAAAATTACAACCCAGAAAATGCCCCTATCATTACTGTGAGGATACAGAGAAAAATGAGTATTTATTTTAGAGACCAAATGCTTTTACACACAATTCACACAGGGCAGATGTAGTGTCTCCTCCCCACACTCAAGAGGTAGAGGCAATAGGATAAGGAGGTCAAGGCTAGCCTCCATCAAAACTTGGAGGCCAGTCTTGAGTAAAAAAGAAATATATAAGCAGTACACTGTGCCTTGTTCAGTCATTCTGTAGCTATGAGCAATGTGGCTCAGCACTGGGCTAACCACCACGGCCCTGGATTATTTTCCCCCTCAGACAGGATTTCTCTATGTAGCCCTGGCTGTCCTGGAACTTGTTTTGTAGACCCGGTTGGCCTCGAACTCACTGAGATCCACCTGCCTCTGCCTCCTAAATGCTGGGATTAAAGGTGTGTGCTGCCCAGTAAAACCCTGGAGGGGGCGGGGGGGGTGTTAAGCCTGTCTTTTCTGGTCTGTCTGATTTGACTCCCTCAAATAGTAACTTTTAGTAAATCAAGTTTAAAAAAAAAAAAAAAGATGCAGAACTCCTCTAAGGTAAAACATAAAAGCAAAACCCTGATCCAGGAACTGAAGAGATGGCTCAGTAGTTAAGAACACTTGCTGCCCTGTGAGAGGACTGTAGTTGGGTTCCCAGCAACCACACCAGGTGACTCATGAATGCTTGACCTGACCTGCCTGGGCACTCAATCACACACAACATACATACATACATACATACATACATACATACATATAAACAAATACCTTAAAAATTCTTCCATTCAGCCAGGTGGTGGTGGAGCACGCCTTTAATCCCAGCACTAGGGAGACAGAGGCGGGCGGGTCTCTATGAGTTTGAGGTCAGCCTGGTCTACAAGAGCTAATTCTAGGACAGGTTCCAAAGTTACAGAAAAACGCTATCACAAAAAAATTAATTAATTAATTTAAAAAATTCTTCCATCCAAATACTTTATTTCAGAATTTTCCATATAATGGGATGGTAGAACCCTACACATGTGCAAAATTAGGGACTCCCAGGTTTGCAAAACAAGTCAGTCTCCCTACAATCAACAATTTTGTCACTCTTCTGAATGACAATAAAGGTTTAGCTAACACAAATATGGCAGCAGTGTTATGTAGGAAAATAATATTTTCTGAGCATCACAAATGGTCCACTGATCCAAAAGATAAACTAAGCACAAACACTTTAGGCTTTGTGTATAAAAGCATAAAAGTAGAATTTCTCAGCTTGATCCAGCTGTTTTCGTAAAATGGAGTCTTTCTCTTGGTGGGCTTAACTTGGGGAGCTAGGATACAGTTTCCAAGTTTGTTGTCTCATGTCCAAGAATAAGGAAACTGCAACATGGAGCAAGCAGAATGAATGGCAGTTTTATTAAGGAAGCGTGAGAAAGAACTCCCAAGCATGGGAAGGGCTCTAAAGGAGGAATACTGTCCGGCTGCCCTGCCCAGTGGGCTTTTATAGCTTTTATAGTAGTAATCAGAGGGAGACTGAGGTCATCTTTAGTGAGATTGGTCATTTTTGAGCAGAATATCAGGTGCCGAAAGAGGAAAGAAGTTCTGAGTAATGCCCATTCAAGGGAGGTCCCCAGTGCTCCATGACTAGTTTATGATCCACAGAGGCTCTGTCCTCACTGCCTAAGAGAATCAGCTCCTGCATGAAGCTGAATATATTGGCTCATAGCTGTAATCCCTGCAGAGACAGGATCTTGGGTTCAAGGCCAGCCTGAACAACAGAGACCCCCATCTAAAAACCAGACAAATGGGAGTGGTTACTGTCGTTCACAGGTACAGTGCTTGTGTAGCACACACAAAGTTCTGGACCGGCCATGGTGGCACAGGCCTGCTGAGGAGGAACAGGCAGGAGCATGGGAGGTCAAGGTCATACTCTCCCAATACAACAAACTTTAGGTCAAATTGAGCTATGTGGAATTGTCACAAAAAAAAAAAAAAGTTTTTTCAGCATATCTTCTAGGCTCAGCAGAGTGACACCATCATTAATCCCAGCACTCAGGAGGCAGATGTCGAGTGGATCTCTCAGTTCAAGGCCAGCCTGGTCTATATAGCGCTTTCTCAAAAATATAAAAAATAAAAAACAGAACCTTCACAATCAGCAGTTCTATGAGACGAAAACACATTTTCTCTTTTCTCATCTTTCCAAGTTCCCACTTTACTAGACACAGAATTAAGCAATAGGTTTAAACGCCTATAAATTACGGTGTTCAGAACACCTGGACAGAGAAAAAACAGTTCTGCGCACTGGTACTTATTACAATGTCTTTGACTTTTTATTAAAAATGACAAAGAATTGTGCCCACTAGCATACAGAGATTAATTTACAGCCCAATTCTGTGATCACTTTCTGACCACTCCACGGTGGCTACTCCACTGCACAGCTCATCTCCGTAATTAGGCCACTCCCTACCTCAAAGAGCTATTGCTAACTGATGCAGCTAACTAAGGCACCTGGGAACAGCATCCAGGCTCCTTCCATAGGCTGTGTCAGTGTCACGAAGAGGAACAATGCCCTAAGGCAACCAACTGCTTACTCAAGCTAACAAAGAGAAGGGGGAAAGTGGGGAATCCGAGAAGGGCCAACTCTCTGAATTATTTAAAGTGCCACCCATGCTGGGGGAAACTGAATTCGTGGGAGGATCCCATTTGAACGCTCCTCACACAAAGGCACCATATACAAAGTCATGAATCACAAGGTTCTGTTCTTTTCACTTCACATCCACTAAGCTGGGACTGGAGGGAAAGTGCAATAGGCCCTGTTTGCTGCTGAAAAGTAGGATGAGGTGAGGGGCTGGAACTGGAAAAAAGCAAAACCCCTCTCTACATATTAAAATTTAAAGATGACCCCAGGGCAAAAGATGAAACCAAGACAGATAACATCCCAGGGACACACAGACCATCCTTGGCATTCTTTTCTTTTATCAGACAGACATCAGTGTAGATTCCAAGTCTTGAATGCCAGGCCAATGTCCTCAAGCAACAGCACCTCAAAAGGCAGGGAACCACACACAAATCCTTTCCCAAACTTACAGCAGCAGAGTTTTCCCAGGGAATAGGGAGGAGTTCTTGGGCTAGGGTGGAGCTCTCTGGTAGAGAGCTTGCCTAGGCTCTATCTCCGCAGCACCACAGAAAAGGGCAAAAGGGTCTAGTTCATGTAACCTGATATCAGAAAGTGAGTTTATTCTACAGTCCACAGGGGAGAAGACCCAACAAGTTGTCACCTAAGTGTGAATGGTGCTCAGTCCCAGTGCAGTTTAGAGCAGTTGGCCATCTGAGTCAGGAACAGCAACAAATGTAAGAGGCTTTGGGCCCAGCTCTATGCCAAGCCCTTTTATACCCACATTCCAATTTAATTATGACAAGCACATAGAGAAGTAGTCTCCTCCATGGACAGGTAGGGGAAGGGAGAACGAAGTGCCCTCAAAGTCAGGGCTGACTGGAACAGAGGTATAGCTGCCACCTCAACTAAAGCCTCCACAGCTGGGCATGCAGGTCCTACTCATCTCCTGCTAGTCCCTTACTATTTCCTGCCCCAGGGCCCCTGCATGTCCTGGTCCTCCAGCACCACAACCGCCATCCACAGACTGATGAGTGACAGTATCACATTCAGCTTTCAACCAGGCTCTCTGGTTGACCCCAAGATCTTGAAATTTCTCTTGCATGAATCTATCTCTATCAGAATAAAACACAAAACCTTCTCCTAGAAGGGACCACAGGGGCAGAAATACTCTGCCCTCCCCACTTCTAAGATATCCCACAATGAAAGTGCACAAGAGGGATGCTACAAAATGACCTGCTGACTAAATGAATGAAGTCTCTCTACCTGCCTAGGTCTCTCTACCTAGATCTGCTGATGACTGACTGACTTGGCCCTTCGGGACATACTGTCTTCCATTTCTATGTGTTTCTTTTTTTTGTTTTTTGAGACAGGGTTTCTCTGTGTAACAGTCCTGGAACCAGCTCTGGACACCAGGCTGGCTTCAAACTCATAGGCCTGCCACTACCTCCAGAGTACTGTGACTTAAAGCAACACCACCACCACCCAGCTTCTATGTGTTTCTTGCAACTGATCTTGCCATCATCCATATGACATGTGTGTCTGAGACATTATAATTCTTAACTCTGGGCAAGGGAATGGCTCAGTCTGGCTGATACACCATCTTTGAAATGAAGCTGCAGTCAGAACTGACCACATCTGGGAACAAGACAGGCATGCATACTCCAACTTACTGAGCCATTTTCTAAATACTTTTTGTCTTAGTGATCTACAAAAAACAAAATGTTAAAGGCAAGTCCTGGGACCTGATGAATTACTGTGACTTCCCTGATAGCTCTTGACTGACTGGAGGCCTCTCTGCCCACGCCTACCCTGCTGGCTTCTGATTAGCCCTTATCTACTTAGCGTCACCTCTACTGCTATCCCTGACAGACCTCAGCAGCTCTCCATGCCTTACTGTTTTCCTCTGAATGGTGGTATATCCCTCCCCTTTAACAGTCACAAAAGCCAAATCAAGGGGACCAGGTGAGTCAGCAGCATCTTGGCCATTGTGGTTTTGGATTGTCACTCTCCTGAAGAACTCTAGAAAGACATGGCAAGAGAGCTCATCCCACTCCTGGCTGTCATGATCCTGACCAGTCAGACAGAAGCAGATCCACCTTTCAAACGACCAAAGACCAACCAGCTCACTCCAAATCTAACACCTTCTTTATAGAAAGCAAGAACTCTGCAGAGAGAGAACCAAAGACATGGCCCACACCCTGACAGCAGGTGAACTGTTCCTTCTATAATCCAGCCTACCTCCAAATACAGGGCTGTATGCAAAGACATCTGTCCAGAATTTGGGAGCTGGAGGAAGAAAGATCAGAAGTTCAGTTCATCCTTAGCCACAGATCAAGTATGAGACCAGCCTACGCTACAAGAGACCATGTCCCAACAGAACACAACCTGTGAACCTGAGTTGGAAAGGGAACATGGCGGGGAGGAGAGATGTCTTAACAGGAGAAGGTACTGAACTTTCTAAAGTAGAATAATGCATATACCCCCACAGTGTTTCCTCCAGAAAACACAGTGTTAAGTAATGGAGACATTCAGAAGGCATTTTGAAGACAGTAACAACAAAAGGGTTTTCCTGCCATAACAGACTAAAAGAGATCTGGACATTTATTTCCAGTGTTTATTAGAAAAAAAAATCTATTTGAATACGTAAAACATGTACTTTCTGTATAATCTTCATTTCTTTTTTTTTTTTTAGAATTCAGTATCTTTTTAGAATATCAACAAACTAGCAGCATTCCACATACTAAATCATTCATTAGCCTGACTGAGGTATAATTTGTTTGTTTTGTTTTGGGAGACAGGGTTTTTCTTGTAGTTCTGGCTGTTCTGGAATTCGATTTGTAGACCAGGCTGGACTCAAATTCACAGTGATCTGCCTGCCTCTGACTCCTGAGTGCTGGGACTAACGCCATGTGCCACCATTGCCTATCAAGGTATAATCTTTTTTTAACACAAAGAAAGGCCTGCAATCCCAGATACTGAAAGAGTATAGGCAAGAGAATTGAAAGTTCAAGGTTTGTCTCCAAGCTAGAGTGAGTAAAACCCTGACCTGTCTTGATCTCCCTACTTTTTATTACATTTATTTATTTGTTTGTTTCTTTATTTATGGTATGCCATGGGGAGATTATAAAAGTCAGAGCTCCTTCCTCCACATGGAATCAAACTCAGGTCATGAGTTTTACTCAGTGAACCCTCAATTCTCTCTCTCTCTCTCTCTCTCTCTCTCTCTCTCTCTCTCTTTCACACACACACACACACACACACACACACACACACACACATACACACGAGGAAAACCAAATACTTCCACAAAATTATTTGGTCAAATCAGGAGGGATCTGAACAACTGGTTCTTTCTTGTCTTTCAAACACGCGCCACAAACCAAACTTTCCTTGGGACTAAGCAGACCAAAACAGGAAAACCATTCCCCATTTCCTTTCTTCAACTGTCAAAGAAGCAGAGAAAAATTGGTTGAAATGGCAAAACAGAACTTCAAATAGTAAAATATCAGTAGCGTGCTGTTAGCCCTGACCGCCTGCGTGCAGCGCCATTCTCCAAGGGTTCCTGTTTTAACAACTGGCGGAGGTCAACAGCCCTGCACATCTTGCCAAACGAAGGGACCATCAGATCGTACTTTATACCTGCATCTGTGAGCAGCTCAAGCCCATTCTCCTTTAAAGGACCTGGTCAGCCTGGAAGTCCTCTAAGCTCTGAAATTCCTCTAGTCAGAGAGTCATAAATAAGATCAAAGTTTTCTCCAGAAGAGAGGGTATATCAACACTGCAGGTAAAAGTGATAAGAAACATTCCTCAGGCTGTGGAGAAGGGCTTCAAGAAAGGATACCTTATGTCCCAAATACCTTCTCTCCTTCCTCTTCTTTTTCAATTCTCAGCCCCTAAAAGTAGGGATTGAAGCCAGGGCCTCACACATACTGGATGAGAACTCTAACGCTGAATTATAGCCCCATGTGTTTTTTAAAAAGTTTATTTTTTTATTTATGTGTAGAATGTGTATTCACGAGTGCATGTGTGTGTGTGTGTGTATGTGTGTGTATGAATGTGCTATAAGTGTGAAGGTACCTAAGAAGGCCAGAAGAGGACTTGAGATCCCTTAAAGAGTGTTAGAGGCAGTTGAGAGTCTCCCCATGTAGGTGGGTGCTAGGAGTCAAAATCAGGTCCTCTGGAAGAGCAGCAAATGTTCTAACTGCTGAGCCATCTGTCCAGTTTCAACTTTGTTTTGGAACACGGGGTCTCACTAAGTTGTGATATACTCTGGGAGGAATGATGTCTCTTAGTCCTAGGGCACATGGTCATAAGGGCTACAAATGGAGTCAAAAGCAAGGACTAGTAAGGTGCAGGGGGAGAGGGATATCTGGGAGAAAGGTCAGGTCTGCCACTTTCCACTGTACCAGAAAAACAGACCAGTCACCATTTGGAAATATACTAGACTGAACTACGGTTGATATACAGCCTACAAGATACAATTATTTAAATTTATTTATTTTTATTTGCATTGACGCCAAGGGTGCTGGAGCCCTCGGAACTGGAATTACAGGCAGCTGTGAGCTGTCATATGGGTGCTGGGAATTGAACCCCAGTCCTCTGGAAGAACAGTCAATGCTCTTAACCATTGAGCCATCTCTCCATCCCCTACAAGATACAATTTCATTTGGTTCAACTTTATGTTCTTTATGTGGATTGATATAGTGACAGTCACCTTTAATCATAGCACTCAGGAGATAGAAACAGGCAGATCTCTGCAAGTTCTGGGACAGCCTGGCCTACATAAAGACCCAGTCTCAAAATAAGAAAAAATAATTTTTTTGTATATGTATAGGTGTTTTGTCTATGTGCGCATGTCTGTGGGCCATGCATGTGCATACCTGGTACATTCAGCAGTCAGAAGAGGGTGATGGATCTCCTAGAATCAGAGTTACAGATGGTTGTGAGCTACCATGTACCTGCTGGGAATTGAACACAAGGCCTCTGGAGCAACCAGTGCTCTTAACCACTAAGTTATCTCTCCAACCCTCTAAGCTCTTTTTAAGTTTTTGAGACAGGGTCTATGTAGTCCTGGATGTCCTGGAACTCACCATTGCCTCACTATATAGACCAGACTGAGCTCAAACTCACTGAGATCCTCTTGTTTCAGCCCCCCTAAGTGCTGGGATTAAAGGCATGTGCTACAATACACATCTTAAGTTCATTTTTATAACCATCTCAAATAAGGTTTTTATATCTGAAGACACATAAACCCTTACATTCTCTAGACTGCCTCAACCTTTGAGAAAGCTTTACCATAGCACAGTTGAAAACCAGACATTTGAAAAACTAAGTTCATTAACAGAGAAGGCATGGAAGGAGCTAGTGAGATGGCTCAGCAAAGAACAACACTTGCTGCTTTGGGGGAAGAACCAGGCTTGGTTCCTAGTGTCAACATGGGGACTCATAACCATCTGTAACTCCAGTTCCAAGGGATCCAATGCCCTCTTCTGGTCTTCATAAGCATTGCATGCATGTGGTGCACAGACATACATGCAGGCAAGACATCCAAACATCAAAATAAAAATCTTCTTCTAAAAAGCAAGATAAATAAAACGGCCAAATAGCTAAATGTAACTGGTTATACAGATCCTAAGACTCCTTCTTTTTACTGATTCTCCCCACCCCCTCTGCCCGTCTCCGGTGCCAGGCATCAAACGGGGATCTTGCACAATGCAAGGTGCCACTCTACCACCCAACCACACCCCAGCCCTGCTGTTCCTATTCTGTACCAATGCACTTGAATCCACAATAGATCTGCTCTCTCGCATACTTCGAAGAAGCTACTAATGAAATTCCAAGTTTCCTCTTGCAGTGACACAGGATTTGGGATTCTAAGTGTGGTGGCAGCACAGGGGATCCACTGACCTGAAATCGACCACTGAGGAATCTGAAGTCAGTAAGTTGAATTTCTGTTGGAGAGTCTGGCTTCTATCCTTTCTTATCAAAAGAGTGATCACCATGGAGATACAGGGGCTATATAGACACAGACCATAAACACCCAAAAGGACAAAAAGAGGATCTGACTGGATGATGCCTCTAGGTTTAAACCCATCAATTCACACCCATTTTCCGAGAATCTTATATCCTATTCGCTAATGAGCTCTCTTCTCAATTAATTCCACTAATTAGTTCTCTATTCTTGTTCAGCCAGAATTCCTGTCCTTTTACTTAGTAAGCCTAACAAGCCACAAAAATTATACATCCCTAGTGGGCTCACCAAGTCAGTCAGGACAATCTCATGTTGGTTCTTCCATCTTCCCAGATGAGGCTGACAGTACGAAACACCAACATCTAATCATCAAGTGAAACCAGCTTTAAAAACTAATCAGGAGAGAACCTTCCACTGTCTCTCTGGAAATTTCTCTGCCAGTTCAGAGTTGCCAGGTCAACAGGGCACAGCAGCATTTACTACTCCTATCACAGAGGCACCCATCCCAACCATCCAGAATCGGCCCCACCCCAACAGCATCTTCTCATTTTTCACCATGGGGTGAAGTTTTCTCCAGAACTCCAAGACCACGCTAAGGCAGACAAGTCGCATCCCTTAAACCTTTTCCCTTCTGTCCCACAAACTACCTGTAACAAATTTTATTTCTTTATTTCGAAGACTGGGCGCCCGCTATGGAGATGAGAACCTTTAAAGGGGCACTTATGGCTCTCCATTCCTTAGAACCCGATGAGGCTGGGGTTCGTGTCCATTTTACAGAGGAGAGAAGCTGAGGGCCCAAGGTCATACAGGACATCTGACCTCAGTGTCCTCTGCCCTTAACCCTCACGCAGCCTTTGCCTTCTCATCAGCCTCCCTTCTGTTCCGGGAAAGGCTCGTTTGCTCCCCAGGCTGTCTCCCCCCTCTAAAGGGCGGGCCTTGGAGGAGAATCGCTACCCATTCCGTCTCTTCTCTTAGCGCCCCCTCCCTTCCACCTGGCACCGTTTCCCCAAGGCCCCTGTCACAGCACCTCCTCCAGGGCCAATTCAAACTTCCCATCGGTCCCCAGAGCAGGTCCGGTCCGCTACGAGGAGCCGCGGGCTCGGGGGAAGGAGAGGGGGGAGGGGAAAGGGGCGCGCAGCCCGCAGCCCCGCCGACCTTGGGGAAACGGTGCCAGGTGGAAGGGAGGGGGCGCTAAGAGAAG